GTGAATGTCCGAATCTCAAAGCTCTCATACGGGGCATCGCATTTGATTGGCCGGTGACAGCAACACAACACCGAGAGAGGAGGGTAGTTAAGAATCGAGAGCTCATAAAAACTGGTTATCCACCACGCGACGGTGTAATTAGACTTTCTGGAACCTTCCCCGAGCCATGGCCGCGTCGCCGTCGTCCTCCACCGCGGCGAACATCATGCTGGCGATCTTTGAGAAGAAGACGAACAGCGTAGATCTGTACCGTCCTCTCCGGAACTACGTGGCCTTCCACTACTCCGAGCGGGAGGCCCAAAACCTCGAAGACGATCTCCAAACCCTAAAGCAACTCCGCTCCGACCTCGAGCGCCACTCCGATCCCTCCCTCCCGGCGCGCCGCGACCTCCTCCAAACCTACTTCAAATCCTTGTGCCTCGTCGAGACGCGCTTCCCTATCTCCTCTGACCCCGACCACGTCAACGCCCTCACCTTCGTCTGGTTCGACGCCTTCAAGCCGAAGCAGAAGGCCTCGCAGCAGAACATCCACCTCGAGAAGGCATCCGTGCTCTTCAATTTGGGCGCCGTTTACAGTCAGATTGGACTGTCGCATGATCCCCGCCACAACAAGCTCGCCCCTCAAAAAGGTCACTTCGTCCTCTAAAGAGCGAACCCGACCACTGGAAGACGTCACCTCATCTTCCAAGCTCCGCACCCGACCTCGGGACGACGCGACGAGCCCCTGTATAAATATATTATATTAAGTATTGATTAAAGAATATCTAAATACTTGTATTGATTTTATTATACTTATGTAAATATATTATTCTTATTATGATATATAACTTTAAAAATATTTTGTAAGGACAATAATGAAAAAAATATTTTTAAGATATATATAATTAATTTTAGTAAAATTCATAATAATTTTTAAAATAATTATTAAATATGTAAAATCAAGTGATAAACTATTAATGTATAATATGTTTGAATTTGTTAAGAGAAAGTGGTGTAATATTTACAAAATGAATGTTTTGATAATAACTTTTTTTACCGACAGTTAAAAAAAATTAACAAAACATTCTTAAAATAGCTAAATTATCATATTTTAAAATTTATTGAGAAAGAAAATTGTAATTTTTAACATAAGATGAGAGGAGAGTGAAATATTTATATCTCTTAGAAGAAAAGAGTTTAAATTACTTTAAATAAACACAAAAAAAAAAAATGATGCAAGACTTCTGATTATATAACTTTGCAGAGTGAATCAGTGATAATTCACGAAAGGATGAACGTTTGTTAAGTTTAATGTTTTTATTTATTTGTTTTTTAATATAAAAATATTAAATTTTTTACTTTTTATTTATTATTTAAAAATAATACTTTTAAAAATAATATTTTTAAAAAACATATTTTTAAAAAAATATTTTTTATACATGTTTCTCATCAAATTGTGTGTAAGGGATATATGAGAATCTTACATTCTTGTTAAAAAGAATGTTTAGTGCTGTAAAAAAAATTATGTTGACAAAAATTTTAAAGTGTTCCTTTTGAAATGAATTGTCTTATGGATAATGCTAACTGTTTTAAAGTATCAGGGTGACTATAAAATTCATTTGTTACTGTAGTAAGAAAATTATGATAATAAAAAGTTTTATATTTAAGTTCAAAATTAGAAAAATGACAAATGTATGAATAAACAATCTTACCAAGAAAATAAAATAAAAACCCATGGTATACACTTCTATTTTTCATTATGCTTTCCTTTTTTGTCAAAAATAAACTCTAATTTATTGTAATTATATTATTTTAAAATTTCCATCATTATTCATTTATAAAGTTCCCTTACGACTAGTAAAGTTAAAGACACATTATAAAAATTAAAAAATTACAACTTCAAAACTTACCGGATAGAATATTTCTTTTTGTCATATCTTGGCCTACTGTTCGTTTGATTTTGTTTTCGTTGGACATATCTTGGTCTAGTTTGCTAAAATATTATTGTTGTCAAATCTTTAGCCTCCCATTGAGTACGTGGATAAAGAAAACTCCACCACCATTTCTTACATAATTTTTTGATGAGTACATTCATTACATAATTTTTATTATTATTAAAATGTAGATAAAGAACAACATTTCCATAAAAATAATAATATTCTAGAGATCTTTAAATCAACATCACTGTTTATCGAAATTTAACAATCTTTAATTTAATCTAGGACTTATCATTTATTTGCATTTTTATTGGCTCATGTTGAAAAAAGTAAATCAATGAACAAGTACATTCCAATTATTTCCTTGAGCGTCTCCACGTGAAAGCAGTAGTAATGCATTTATGGTTCACCCAAAAAATAATGCATTTATTGTTGAAGCGGTAAAGAATGAGACCGAACCAAACAATAAATGGTATCAATGTAAGTCCTTGGCTGAACACTTGATAATCAGCACAAACTTAACTTTGCATCACAGTGGAAAGCCTCTATAACTTGTCTTTTGTTATTTTATCTTAGTTCTTGTCATAATCTCCAACATTCCTAACGATTAACAGAAAAAACCTAGTAATTCCAAGAAAGTTCGGTTTCTTCCACGCTACTAAAGAATTCATGATTTTTGAATTAGAAACTTCTACTGCTTAAACTTTTCTCCTCGCAAGTAACATTTATTTCTCTTTGCTTCCTTCTACCTCAACGCACACTAGACTAGTAGTAGCAAGAGCAATCACTAAAATGGGAAGCCCATTCAACAGTGTACTTTTCAATAAAAGGGTCTCTGAATTCATTCTCTTATTGGCTGATGACAATTTCAAGAGGAAGCGATTGCTTTCTCTTTTTTTTTGTCTTCATTTATACCAACTACCTATGTAATAATAATTCTAAGCACTATATCTATAGCTGACCAATTTTAAAGTCCTAGCCTCAGTAGTAATGAAGAAGAAAAAGTCTATGGATGTGAAGCTAACATACCTAGTGAAATCCTCCCAAAATTTCCAACTTATAAAACCCTCATTAAAAATAACTTTAAATCCTCAATGATATCTTTCTACTAATCTTCTTAGACACGAAACTTGAAAAATAAATAACTAAATATTTTTATCTTCACTTTTTCATTTCATATTTTATGTAATAGTACATGCATGATACTTTAAAGACTTTACTTTCTCCTATATTAAAAATTTGTTAAATTTTATGATAATTAACTTGAATGTTAACTCTATCATAATTTTTTAATTAGTCGATAATAATAATAATTTATAATTTTGTTAGGGTTATGTTTTATATTTATTTGAGAAGATATATTTACAAAAAGAAGTATTATTTTTTTTATTGTTCATGGTATTGATATTGTATATTTTGGATTTACATCTTTATAGTTTTGTTTTTAGTTATTATCCAAAAAAATTTAACTAATAAAGTGTATATATGTTTTATAAATTCTTGTTTTAATGATGTAAGATCTTGTTTGTATCCAATAATCCTTCCCTCAAAACAAAGGACTCAATCTCCCAATTAGTAAAATCTATCTTGCATTGCATTGCATTTTTTTATATTGTTTGTATGTATGATTATAGGTTATTCCAACCAAGTCCAACCAAACTTTATCACTAATAGAATTATGCTTCATACTTGTTTGAAAGGATATATTTATTGAGAGGAGGATTACTTTTTTATTGTTTTATCGGTTATTTGCACACACACAACTCCACAATGATATTTATATTGTCCACTTTCGATTTACATTCTTATAATTTTGTTTTTGTCACTACCAAGGCTATAAATTGTGGTTCGCAACACCTATTACATTGCTCCCTATAACTGCAACGACTTATAATTGTAATTTGATTTTAAATCATTGAAAATTTTGTAACGTAATCACAATACCATTTTATTCCACTTTTTCTTTATTTATTTATTTTTTTCAAAAAACACAAATAGATTCAACTCTACAATAGTATTGATACTATCTACTTTGAGTTTACACTTTCATAATTTTACTTTTAGTCATCATCATGATTATAAATTGCATTCTATAACACTTGTTATAGTGCTCCTTGTAATTGCAACAACCTACAATTGCAATGTAATTTTAAATCATTAGAAATTTTGCAACGCAACCACATCATTTTTGCCATTTTTTTGTCAAAAAACACAAATAGATTCAAGTTTTAATTTTCTAATCTAAAAAGTTTGGTCACATGGGATATTAAGAGAGGGGATGGTTGGTTAGAATTGTTAATCTCAACAATAATGTCAAGAGGTGCATGATGTATTTTAGAAAAAGGAGAAAGAGATTTAGAATGAAAAATTAAGAAAAAAAGTTTGATTGATTTTTATTATTATAGAATTATTTACTTATATTCAATGTGAATATATAATAATTTGACGCCATAATTCACATCAAAATAATTATACACAACTAAAATTTAGAATCATGATCATCCTCCAAAAAGTCTCTAAAAAATAAAGTATGTGAATTTTATAAACTCTTATATTTTTTATTTTAATGATGTGAAACTTTATTTATATCTTAACAAATTTAACTCAAAATTAAAAGTTATAGACTAATTGCTCCATTCATAATATCTATTCAAGGGCAAGATAAAAATATATTTTTTCATATATGCATAAATGAAAATTTAACACTTGTCACATTCTTAAAAAAAAAAAAGCAAAAAAAAATACATAATTAGCGACTAATTATACTGCACCATATTTTGGTATAGTAATAATAAAATAATTAAACTCGTAGAGTATTAACCACTTTGCTCATTTCATAAACCCACAAAATTGACTGACATAAACTAAAAATAGTTTTGTCTAGTTTACCTGATCGATCAGACCTAGGGACTTTCCTTTCTCAGATGGGACAACTAAAAGTTACAGCAACCACCAAAACTCTTTGATTTGTCAGCTGAATCACAAAGTTATACTTACTTGTCTCCCAGAGTTCCAAGTTCTGCATAGTTAACAACGTCTAAAGTTAAACTATAAAAAAGTTTGATTGCCCACTTTTCTCTTCCAACCTCTCTCCTTCCTCATCATCCTGAGAGAAGGAACAAAATGAAAACAATGGCTGCCATCACATTCTCATATCCAGCATGTACCTACCTTGTAAGGTGCTGTTCCATGAGAGAAAACCATGACAAGCTTAAGCAGCAACTGAACAGCAGCATCAGAACTAATGGGAGTTTCAGGTCGCCAGTTAAAGTTGAGTCACTGGGCCAAAGTACAGCTTCAACTATCACCACTCTTGGTCAAGCTGTCACAGTTGGTGAAAATGGTCTGCGCCAAAACATCCCAACAAAGAAGCAATTGGTTGATCCTCATCGTCAAGGGCTCATCATTGAAGGTGGAGTTGGTTATAGACAGACTGTTGTCATTAGGTCCTATGAAGTTGGAGCTGATAAAACTGCCACACTTGAGAGCATCCTCAATCTTCTTCAGGTGATTACTGATTGATTAAAAGCACAAGTTGTTATAGACATGTTCGGATAAATTTCTGTGCAAGTACTTTCAGGAGAAGAAAACAAGAAAAATAAAATTGATTTCTACATAAATCATCATATACATAAGTTGAAAAACATTTTCAAAAAAGTCAACATGAGAGAATTTTTCCAAATTAATTTATGCACAAGTTAATTTATGTTTGTTTCATTTTTCTTCTTTCTATTTTTTTTTCTCCTAGAAGTGTTTAAGAAATTTATCCAAACAGGACCATGATCATTTAAGCCAGTTCACTTCACAAAAGGTACAAGGGCTTCATTGTTTTGTTGCAAAATGCAATCTTATATATGGTGTATTATGTGCAGGAAACAGCACTAAATCATGTTTGGATGTCTGGACTGCTCGGTGATGGGTTTGGGGCAACTCATGGAATGGTGAGGAACGATCTCATTTGGGTTGTCTCAAGAATGCAAGTTCTGATTGATTACTATCCCATCTGGTAAAGTCCCTTTCCATCACGATTATTACATGGAGATGGAGGACATGAATGAATGTACATTTGCACCCTTTAATTAATATATCTTTTGTTGTTGCTGGAATATACAATCAAATTTGAAAATCTTCACCTCGCTTTAGACAATTCTTGTCAAAATTGTTGTACCTTTTATAGAAGGCTTTCCTAGAAATTTTCTCCGTCGTTAAGAACTCTTGTCCTGTTCTCTTTTGGCAGCAGAAGGCCACAAAAATCTACTACCTCTTAAATAAAGTTACGTGTTTACAAAGATGCATATAATTTCATTAAGATATTCCATATTTAAATCCATCATAGCCCATGACGGACGATCTTAACTCAATTAAACAAAGCAAGTGCGCACCTATCAAAGTCAGAGTAGACTCTGACTGGTGGCCATAAATCTTACCAAATTTGCTGAAACAATCTTAATGGAATGAAATTTTAGTTTTACTAGCATATAGTTAGATTAAATCATCATGGCATGACAGAACCATAATAACTAGTGATGCATTTGACACGTGGCAGGGGAGAGGTAGTTGAAATTGACACATGGGTTGCAGCATCAGGCAAGAATGGAATGAGGCGAGACTGGTTGATAAGAAGCCAAGCCACAGGCCACATTTTCGCACGTGCAACAAGGTATGTACCATATATATAGGGTGTGGATAATCTATCTGGAAGCACTTTTAGGGGAAAAGAGTAAGAAGGAAAATTGAAATAAATTAAAACTAGTTAATCTATAAATTAAAAAATAAGATTTTGAAAAGGTTGATAAAAAAGAAATTGTATAAATTAGATTGTCTATAATTTAATTTTAACTTATAAAAAAATATTTAATTTTTTCTTCTTATTTTTCTCACTTAAAAATTGATTTTGGAAAAATTTACCAAAGAGATCCATACATGTCTTTCACAATCTTTCTAGCAGTTTCCCACGTTTTAAAATCATTGCTGATTGAGGTTAGCTATAAAACAGCACGTGGGTGATGATGAACCGTAAAACAAGACGTCTCTCCAAAATGCCTGAAGAGGTGAGAGCAGAAGTTTCACCTTGGTTTATAGAGAAGCAAGCAATTAAGGAAGATGTTCAAGAAAAAATAGTCAAATTGGACAAAGAGGCGAAGTACATGAATTCTGACTTGAAGGTATATATATAATATACCATTTACTTTATGCATTACAGCACAAAGACTGTACACGATTATTGACTTTGTGTCCCATCTCCATTCTGCAGCCCAAGAGAAATGATTTGGACATGAACCAACATGTTAATAATGTGAAGTATGTAAGATGGATGCTAGAGGTAATTAAATTGCAAAAATTTATCAACTCAATACTCATTATTCTTCAAAAGGGTCATTATGAATGTCATGGTTAACTCTCAAATTCTGTTGGTGATTGCTTCTACAGACCATCCCTGACCAAATTCTTGAGGGGCACCAATTATCTGGTATCACACTAGAGTACAGAAGGGAATGTGGAAGCTCAGATATAGTTCAATCACTATGTGAACCTGAAGAAGATGAAATACTTCATGGTGTGGCAGAACCAGATTACTGCACAAATCTGCTTAATGGATTATCATTGGCATCATCAGATATTATTAATGGTAGTGGAGTCTTGACTTGCCTTGAACATAGGCCAATGAGGTATACACACCTTCTACAAATCAAAGGAGAGAAACAAAATGATGAAATTGTTAGAGGAAGGACTACATGGAAGAAGAAGATAATGCCATTTTCCACTTAGACCTAGTAAGATACGTGAACTGCTGGAAAGGAACAAATGGTAGCATATACTCTAGTGTGCACACCAACAAATTCTTGGTCTAAACGAAACTGATATGAATATGATGACAAAAAGACAACCAGGAAGCGTTCGGAGAAAAGAATTATATACATGTAACAATTCCAATGAAGTCAAAGTTGTGATTATGTTTCTAATTTAATTCGTGAAAAAACTAATACAAAATGTGATTATTTAGTTATAGTAAAGTGTAGCTATGTGGGCATAAACTGTGTTATAATTTACAATAAAAAGAAATGTTTTGCATTACATTGAAGTAAAAGCGGAACTTACTAAAATAATGCAACCGTGAAACAACGAGAGCAAGCCCACACGAACGTGACAAGGCAAAGCCACCCGATGCTACAATATGGTGCTTTTGCTCTTTTATTTTTAATAGGTCACATGCTATGCCTTTCATTCATTACTACGCATTTTTATAAATAAATAAAATGTTTTAAATCTCAGACAGACTGATTCAACTGAAAAATCGGTAACCGATCCAATGTTTGGTCCAATTAAACTAGAAACTGAACTTTGAAAAAACCGGTCAGAGAATTGGTAAATTGAAACACGCAAAACTGATATATATATATATATATATATATATACTATGGTACCCATTATATTAATTGTGGAGATACCTGAACAGTCATTTTTTTTTATTTTATAATTACTTGTTTTATTTTTATTTTAATTTAATATTTTTAATAATTTATCTGTATCTTTATATTATTTTTATATTTTTTAATTTATATTTTAATATAGCATCTATTATAATTAAAAAGTTTAATATTAATATTTTACTAATATGTTTTAATTTTTCTTTGGTGATAACTTTTTTAAATTTATAGTATAAATAAGTTTTTTAGTTATGTTATTTATTTTTTCTATTTTAATGTTTTTATAATATTATTATAATTTTTAATTTTTAATTTTTTAATTTGGTCAGGTATAAATAAATTTTTTTTATGAAAATTGACCTTTTAATTATTTTGTTTTGAATTAGTCTTTTTAATTGATTTTTTATATAAATTTTTAATCTAAAATTTATGTTGTTTTGAATTTATTTTTTAAAATTTATTTGTTTACATAATGTGATGTACCAAAATCCTTCAGTTTTCATGGATACAGTAACAGTTCTCATATATATATAAATAGAGGAGAGTTCAAACGATACCAGTATAACTTTTACCAAGTATTACACCACTTAATAACTTTATATTAAATGTGAATTTTGAAAATCTAACCGTCAGATTGAAAGTTCATATCTCTTATATCATATATGTCAAATTTTGTTAAAATTGAACAACAACTTAAAGGCAATCAAAGTGTTCATATTTTAGTATATTTTGAAATGTATATATTACGTCAATTTTGTTTTATAATAATGAAGTATCAAATCATCTTAGATTAATATAAAATTTTATATATATGATCTAAGAGATATGAACACTCAATTTAACGGTTGAATTTTCAAAATTCACATTTAATATAAAGTTATTGAACGGTGTAACACTTAGTAAAAGTTACATCGGTCGTTTGAATCCTTCTCATATATATATATATAGAGATTATAATAACACCGGTGTAACTTTTACTAAGTGTTACACTACTTAATAACTTTATATTAAATGCGAATTTTGTAAATCCAATCATTAAATTAAAAATTCATATTTCTTAGATCATATAAACAAAATTTTATATTAATCCAAGATGACTTGATACTTCATTCTAATAAAACAAAATTGACGTAATACATTCATTTCAAAATATACTAAAATATGAACACTTTGATTACCTTCAAGTTGTTGTTCAATTTTAACAAAATTTGATATACACATATAAAGTGATATGAACTTTCAATCTAACGGTTAGATATACAAAATTAACATTTAATATAAAGTTATTGAGCGATGTAATACTAGGTGTTATTATAACACTCCTCATATAACACTCCTCATATTACATCGTTCAATAACTTTATATTAAATGTTAATTTTGTATATCTAACCGTTAGATTGAAAGTTCATATCACTTTATATGTTTATATCAAATTTTGTTAAAACTGAACAACAACTTGAAGGTAATCAAAATGTTCATATTTTAGAGAAGATAAATGAGTTAGAGAAGAAATTTAATAGGAGATAAATAAATGAATTAGAGAAGATATTTAATAGGAAAGAGAAATGGGATGGAGAACGAATTTAATAAGAGTGAGAAATAACTATAATATCATTTATACAAATTAACCAAATAAAAAAAATAAATAATTTTTTTGTCTTAAAATTTTGATATAAGTTGCTAACATACTCTCACTAAAAAATAGGTAAGAATATATTAGCACTTTCCTATATATATATATATATATATATATGTATATATATAAAGCATAAAAGTAGTACTAACATACATACAACATATTTAGACTTCATACAAGAATTCACATTTATCCAATATATATATATATATATATATATATATATATATATATATTCATTTTTTAACATTTTATCAGTTTTGCTATATGTAAGTTAATCTATAACACTTTAAGTGTCATTCAACAATAATAAAAGGGCAACAATAAAATGGAGAAAGAAAAATGGTAATTCAACATATAGTTAATCTATATTTAGTATAATTTATTATAATAAAACAATTGTTTTTTTTAATTTTTAGTAGAACTTTTGACAAAGAAACAAGTTTTTATAAAAATAATTAATAGAAAACATTTAAGTCAAAAACCGTTATCCATACCACCGAACACAGATCAATTGGTGTGTGGGATTGTTTTATTTTAAACAAGAGTAACTGCATTAAATAGAGTTAAAGTAAAAAATAAAATAGCGTTCCATTGATGAAAAAAAAACCGAAGTGTGTAGTAATGCCTATCCTAAACCTAATGCTCTTGTTAATCTCCAATGAAGTAACACAACTATTTCAAGCTTGACAAGTCGTATCCTAAACCTAATGCTCTTGTTAATCTCCAATGAAGAAACAACTATTTAAAGCTTGACAAGTTAAGACATTGGACAGAATGTATGAAGCAAAAGCATTCTTCACTCAAAATTTCATTAAAATGACTGGATAATACACGTTTCAGAATGATTCATTCCGAGGCGAATAAAATACCAATGGTGGAAACCTATTCAGAAGCCTCATAAATAATAATAAGTACACCTCTCTACCAGCTGGAACTAATATTTGCCGCCCAAAGAAACTGTGATCCACTACACTAATAATTAAGCTAGGAGAATTAATATTCCATCATTTACAATTAATTATGAGGTTGATGACAGTATTTACACCATCTGTATGGCTATGGACCCATAAAAATGAGGAAGGAATCAATCAAAGAATAATTCACTGCATGCTAACGCTGCAATAGTAAAATTATCGCCTCTTTTTCCCTAGACTGCGATGATGTTGCCATGACCACAAAAGCAAAAATGTAACAATTGCCATTCCAACACACGACCAGAATATTACCAGCCATATAGGCATTGGTTTAGGATACAAGCCTGTGGAAACAAAACCACCATAGAATCAGTGAATTAACCAATAATACCAACCTCCAAATATGAACACAATAATTAAAAAGAGACCTACGTACCGTGTCCAAACTTAATGCAAATCAGAAGTTCAACAATGCATATGGCAAGAGAGAGCCAACAATATGCTCCAACCTTTTTCACTGGCTTTCTGAAAAATTTATGTCAAAAAGTAACTCATTAGGATGTTGTCAATATGCCATTCAACACATAATATGCTAACAGAATCTACCTGTCTTGAAGGTATGAATTGTACTCGCGAATTGTTGGAATGGCAAGTAGCCACCACAAAATCAACCTATATATAACAACTGAATTTCGAGGGGGTATCCAGAGACAAAACTTCAAAAAGAATGTGTTGAGCTCTACTGTCAAAAATACAATGCAAAGACTAAGCACTTGAATGAAACGCCAAGGACCAAGCAGTGGATGCCACTCGTCTTTGTCCCACTGAGCCGGTGTGAATTGGCCTAATGTTCGTTTTACCTAATAACAATGTAACAAAGACCACTCTAGTCTCATTCAGCAATCATAATAACAAACTAACAATAAGAATTAACTAATATTCTGTCAGAAAGTACAGTCAAAATCATTTTTTTCTCATGGTGAAGTTACTTTACTACAAAGAAACAGTTTTAGGGAAAACAACCATCAGGGAAAAAAATGTAATAGGGTATTATTGTTCCAACAGGCTAAGAAAAAATATATTACACGATAGAGTTATTTCAATTTCAATTGAGATCAATCTGGATATGTGATGAAAGAAAAACAATAAAAATTTCAAAAACATACTTTTCCAATTATATTAGGCTGCTGGCTTAGACCAACCCATTTGTATGTTTTCCCATCAAAGTATCTAACAGTATGCATTCCTTTTTAA